TCGTGGTCGTACACCTGCACGGTCTTGGAGAAGGCGGTGTTCTCCCAGCTGTAGCCGCCCAGGATGTAGATGCGGCCCTGCCACACGGCCACGCCCGACTCACTGTTGGCGTGCAGCAGCGGCGCCACGCGGGTCCACTGGTTGCACTGCGGGCTGTAGGCCTCCACGCCCAGCACGTCGAAGCGCTCCATGGACTCCACGTGGTCATCGCTGCCGCCAATGGAAAAGATGCTGTCGCCCAGGCTGCACATGCTGTGCCAGCCGCGGGCCGTGGTCATGGGCCGCCGCTCCTCCCACACGTTCGTCCGGTGGTCGTAGCACAGCAGGTTCTTGCGGTAGGGGCCGATCTGGTAGTCATGGCCCCCCGAGATGTACACAAAGTCTTTGTAGATGGTGCCCGCATGACCGTAGGTGAACCTGCAGGGAGGCCGGGGGTCAGTGCTGCACCGGGCTCAACCGCCCCGAGCCCGGGCCTCGGGCTTCTCCTCAGCAGAATGGGACAGCCTGCCCCTCGGGGTGGGAGGACATTAGGGGTCATCCGGGGAACTGGCACCCACGGACACTTTGCGGTCGGCAGCCGTCATGAGATGAGGAGGGGCCGAGCGGGGCGGGCAGACCAACCAGAACCCAGCCCTGGCCTTCTCTGAACCTCGCTGGCCCATCTGGGATTTGGGGATCATTACAGGGCTGTCATCCCTCCCATAATGGCTGAAAACCATGAAAACAGTACACGACTTAGGCACACGCATGTCCCCACCCAGTAACACATCAAAGGTAGGAAACAGGCTGCTTGGGGTGGCTCACACCTGTCATCCTAGCATTTTGGGAGGCCGAGGCGGGAGGATTGCTTGAGCCTAGGAATTCAAGACCAGCCTGGGCAACACAGAGAGACCTCATCTCTATAAAATTAAAAAAAAAAAAAAATTAGCTGGGGCCAGACATGGTGGATCACGCACGCTATCCCAGCAATGTGGGAGGCAGAGGCGAGAGGACTGCCTGAACCCAGGGTTTGAGACCAGCTGGGCAACTTGGCGAGAACTCACCTCTACAAATATCAAAAAAATGAGCTGGGGGTGATGGTGCACACCTGCAGTTCCAGCTCCTTGGAAGGCTGAGGTGGAAGGATCGCCTGAGCCCAGCAAGTCGAGGCTGTGGTGGCCATGAGTGTGCCACGGCACTCCAGCCTGGGTGACAGAGTGAGACTCCAACTCAAACAAAACTGCTGATGATGATCCTCTACCAAAACAAAACAAAAAACTTACCTGGGAGTAGTGGCATGCTGAGATTACAAGCATGAGCCACCACGCCCAGCAGATGCTTCACTTTTCTACCTGCAAAATGGGAAGACAAAGTCTCCAAACTTAGAGAGAACAAGATCCTGATGAGCCTGGGGTGGGACTGGTATTTATATCATTCACCTACGTTATTCATTGTCATTCTAGTTTAGAGGCTAAGTTGTATCATAAATTAACCATCAAACTACTGTGCGTATCAAGGGAGTCATCACATAAAGCAACCAGCCCAAGCTAGACGCAGTGGCTCACATCTGTAATCCCAGGTTTGAGAGGCTGAAGTGGGAGGATTGCTTGAGACCAGGAGTTTGAGTCCAGCCTGGGCAACACAGTGGAGACCTTGTTTCTACAAAAAAACTAAAAAAATTAGCCAGGCGTGGTGGCTCAAGCCTATAATCCCAGCAGTTTGGGAGGCCAAGGTGGGAGGATTGCCTGAGCTCAGGGGTTTGAGACCAGCCTGGGCAACTTGGCAAGACCTCATCCCTACAATAAATAAAAAAAT